AAATGGAGTTCTTAAAGTCTTGTCTTTTTGCTTCTCTGCATTACTCATTCCTGAAATTCAGCTCATGGTTTTTCTGCATCTAGATATAAAATAAATGTTGTAGAACATATTATTCATTTGTAAATTAGATTTTTTAAAAAATTTTCAGGGGGAGACCAATGGGATTATAGATTAGATTTGGTTACAAGGAGTCTGGAAGAACTCTAGGAAGTAGCCTAGGACTGAGGAGACCCAAGTTCAATTCCTTACTCCACCCCAGACTTATCTGTGTGACCTTGGGGAAGTCACTTAGCCTTTCTGTTCCTCACCATTTGTAAAATGGGGATAACACTTCCCTATCACAGGAGCTTTGTAAGGATAAACACATTAAAAGATTGTGAATCCCTTTGAGATCTACTGATTAAAAGTGCAATATATTATAAGAGCTAGGCACTGTACAAACGAAGAACAAAAAATAATCTCTATCCCAGAGAGCTTACATATGAAAGCATCAAGGCATTGTTTCACCAAATGTAAACATCATGTATAGTTTCAATGCTTTGGTAAGATTTCTTAAGAGATTTTTCTACCTTGCCAGCATCTTTTTCACCTGTCTTTTGCTACCATAGTCATAGACAGCAAGCAAAACAATATTCTATTGGCTTTCATCGTCCAACTTTACACCTCCCCTGTGCTTGTATTACATATGCAACTGATGTATGGACCTCACTTCTTCACACTCATTGATGACATTGTTACCAATACTGAGTTAATCTGTTTGCATTCCTATTATTGCTGCTCTACCAAGGGGCAGCAGATTTCAGAGCCTTGCAGGTCAGTTAAGTTCAGAATCAGTGATACAGAATATGGATTATTTTTTTTTAGCTTAATTTGTTTAATTTCTCTCTATCTCTCTAGATATATATCTATATCTACGCGCGCACACACACACACACACACACAGAGTCGTTGAACAGAGTTAGTCACAGACAGAACACAAGCAATCACCTCTTTCAGAAAACTCAGCCCAAACACCAATGCTCAGATCCTACTATGCACCGGAGCAACGGACTCTAATTAGAGAGATGAAGGCAGAGAGCAAACTCTCTTATTATTTTCAACAGCTTCCCTCCTTCCAAACAAACTGGAAGTACAAAATTAACAACACAAGCATACAATAAGGCTGAATACTGCTTGCACATTAAGAAAGAACTTGTAAGACTATGTGTAACAATACCATGTAGTTGCGCACTTTAACACTGCGCTAATAATTAATTAAATTTTAATTTCTGGAGTTTGTGATGCAGAAAAACTTGGTGGCATGAACTATATATTTACTTTTATTACCATATTTCATTTTCTAGTATCTGTTCACATGTCTGAAAAGGAAAGATGGAAAAATTAAGAGGCAAAAAAAGATTCATGGGACTATTTTTGTAGGGAGAAGGCAGGGAGCATAGAATACCATACTTAAATTACGGTTGTAGCAGGCTTCTCTGTGTACTTTTACATTCCTGACAGTCTTACTGTAGGAAGTTCCTTTATTTCAAGGTGTAGGGACAACACGATTACTCGTCTGTTGGCTAGCTGCTGGACTCCTCCCATGAGAACAACTACCAGGAAGCAATAGTAGGGCAATTCCAGACCTCCATTTACCACACAGCCTTGAGGACACCATTTTTCTTTAAAATGCACCAGAATAATTGTAAATCTTTCCTAACTGGCTTTTTTCCTAATAACTTTTATTTTTACAGTTGGAAATGCCTAATTCTCCCTCTCAGGAGGGTCATTCCTCAGGTGTGTTAGCTAAACTTACTACCCCATTTCAGCATTTGTACATGTTCATATACACATACATAACAAATATTAGTTGTATAGGAACAGGATGGCCAAGCAGAGCCCAGGGAAGTGTTCCTCCTGCACTACCTCCCTTCAGACACTTATGAAGGAGGATATATGCTCGTGTACCCAATATAAGTTATCTGTTACTGCCTTTTTGAAGGCGTTTATTTATGCAGGAAGAGACTGGGTTTCTCTGTCATTGTGTAGGTCCCACAATGTCTCCTACACTCCCTCCACATATATACTAACAAGATGGTATGCTTCACTCTGAGGTAGTAGGAGCCAGGGATGCACTCATTGGCAGGAGAGATTTTTTGGTGAATTCCTAGAGTGGTTGCACAAGCTCAAAATAAAGAGGAAAAACTCCTTTTGATAAGTAATCTTGCTTGGACTGAAGGTATCCTAGATGCAGGCAGCCTTTCAAGGCTCTGCAGCACATAGTGGAGAAAACATCTTTTGTTTTATTTTTAAGAGTCACTGGACAGATTCAGGGGTTAGCAGGGCTTACTCAGATGAAATAAGCTCTCTACTAAATCCTTGGCATGATACCTTTTCCATTCAGTTGCAGGTCAAAGTCTAAATAGAGGGAAGAATCTCAACATTTTGCAAGTCATTAGTAGACAGAGAAGTGAGTGTTGGAATTTGTTCAAAGAGCTTCACAGAGCTTTCAAACTCTTTCAAGAGAAGATTCCCATCTCCACAAAATTCAAAATGTCTAAAATCAGAAAGATCTGAAGGATGCAATATCTCATCCTCTAGGAATAGGAGCAACAAAACAAGACCTGTAAGAGGAAGAAAGGAAAGGAGAGTATTCTATATTAATCACAGTTCCCAGCACTTGGAAAAAATTTAGCAGACTCACTTCCATCAGCTTGAATTCAGGTGGTGAAGCCTGCTTACCCTAACTAATCCTAGGGTTCTCCTACAAACCTGTTTTCTGCCCCCTGCAGGAATCCTTATCCTTCAAGGAACATTGAAAATACCACATGAGGTAAATCTCACTGCATTTCCCGTGTACTTTCTCTCCATATATTGGTTTTCCTCAAGAGAGCAGCATGTGCCTATGTTATCAGACTGTCATGACAGCAATTTTTTATTCTTTATCAATTATTTATTATATTTAAAACATTTAAAGTTCTTTAGTGATTTATTCTCCTTTGCAATTAGAAATAGTATCTCATTTTGTTGTAGGGTTGTTTTTAGTAGGGTCAGCATTTCTTTCTACAAAATACAGCATGCACACTACTCAAAGGGAAAATATAAAAGTTAAGCCTATAAAATTAAAAAATGTTTAACTGCAAGCTATCCAAAACCAGCTATTCTAAGGCTACATTATGAGATGCTAAGAGTCTTTATAAGAACACACTGTAGAAAAATTAACATGCTTTCTACTCTTGCTAAAAACAGGAAAAACAGACAGCAGGACACTTTGGGTGGGATTTTCAGAAGGGCTCATCTTTGGCCTAATGTTGCTCCATGGCTTCTATAGGAACAAGGTTAGGCAGTCACTGAGCACATTTGAAAATCCCATCTTTTATGCATACATTTAAAGAATCTCCATGTTGTGGGTAGAAGAAGTGCCAGAACCCCTAACAGTGTGCAAAACTTAAGTACCCAAAGTGAAATCCTGGTCACTTGAAATCAAATAGTTTTGCCATAGACTTCAGTGGCACAGGATATCACTCTGAGATTTGAGAGAGGTTGGAATATTTCTGGAGAGACAGAGAAGACATAGGGGAGTAGGATGAGCAGTGCAGCACTAGGCATGCTCTGAGAAGCCAAACCAGAAGAGAGAGCTGGAATTGAACTTTTTTTTTCTTATTGTTAATTTAATTATTAGTCAAATTAAAACCCAGGAACGGGGCAATTTTTTTACCTCCACACAGTGTGTGGACATGGTTTAAAGTGCAGGTTGGGAAAACAACTGATCATATGTACAAGCATTCCCAGGAGCACCAAGATATGAAGAGTTTAAAATAAATAAAAAGCTTCTATAGTCCTTGACTTCTAAGACATTTTAACCGGCTTTAATTATTGCACATGCTGGTCATGATCATGCAGTCATTACTGGAGACATCAGTGAGAGTTTTGGCTATAGCTTTAAAGTAGTGTTTTGTTTGTCAAACTAATCTGTTTTTACTTCCAGAATTTAGAGATGATAGCTATTAGGTTTTTGTTTCCACAAAATCCTTTTCTCTCATGAAGTATACCTTAAAATTGTTTGGAATAAATATGACCTGTTGTATTGTGTCTTGCTAGTCGAGTTTAAAATGGGGAGTGAACAAAATAATAAGATTTATTATTGGTTGGATTTAAAATAAGGCGGGAATGGTTGAAAATAACAGCTTTTTTTTCTGTTGGGCAAGAACACACTTTTTTTTTCCTTTTATGATTGTCTTATGTAAGAAGAATTTTAGTCAATAGTAGGCAGAAAAAGATTCTATTATCACTTTTTTAATCTACTACACTCAATACCAAAACTATTGTTTACATTACTTAATATTTGTCCCAAACACACCGCTTTTATTCCACCTAAGACAGTTCTCCCTCAAAATTACTCATCCTATTCTTCCTCTGAACATGATGCCATTGGAAACTCTGAGAAAGCAGCATAGTGCTTTTCTGCCCCTTCAAAAGATTCTTTTACAGTTAAATTGTTATGATGGAACAGCGTTTTTTAATTTCATTGAATAGTATTCATTGCACTGGAATACACAGCTTCAGTGTCCAATGAAATCAAAAGCTTTGAGTTGCTTCATGCACTTTATTTTCATGAATATTTTCTTTTAACACCAGGGTAAGTTAACATTACAATAAGTCACATATATATCATATATAGTATACAGACAACTTGGTTAAAAAACGCATTTCCAAGTTAGGACATGCCAAGGTGTGATTGCCTGTGCATCTTTAATTCCACCTCCTGTGCATTCATTCTGTGCACTGAAGAAGGCAGGTCTTACGAAAAAAATAGTATGTGATCATGTAATTAGAGTATATCGTCATGTCTACCCACAAGGGTATTCTGCACTGAATAGGGAATTATTCATTCCTCGTTATCTTCCCTAGGGCTCTCATTAATATACTATCTCAGTGCCTCACAAATATTTAATGAAATTATCTCCTTATCACCCTTGTGAGATAAAAGTGGATGCTGAGGTATTCTCCTTAATTTACAGATGGGGGAGTTGAGACGAGCCTGAGGCTGCATATTGGAAGAGTGGCAGAGCCAGGATTAGAATTCGTGCCCTTCTTACTTCTGATGCTGTTAATTTCTGCAGACCAAAGTACCTTAATTCTAGCTCCCATTGACATCGGTTGCAGTTGAGTACTGTGAACTTCTGTATCTCTGTATGAAGTATCTCATGTTGGGCACTCAGAAAATGAGGAATGCACAGTTCTAGCCACCTGTCAAACTTTTGTATTAAGTGGCTTCCTCAGCATCAAATAGAAAGTCTGTGGAAGAGATAAATCTATTTGTGGCTATCACCTGCCTTAATCATAAGACCATCCTTTCTCTTTATTTATTTCCCTGTCTTATTCTCTACTCACATTCCAATTTCTAGAGCAAATGAGGCAGTGATCCTACAAACAGACTAACTCACTACATAACCCTTATTAATTCCCAGAGCATCTATCCCAGGGGTCGGCAACCTTTCAGAAGTGCTGTGCTGAGTCTTTCTTTATTCACTCTAATTTAAGGTTTCGCGTGCCAGTAATACATTTTAACATTTTTAGAAGGTCTCTTTCTATAAGTCTATAATATATAAATAAACTATTGTTGTATGTAAAGTAAATAAGGTTTTTAAAATGTTTAAGAAGCTTCATTTAAAATTAAATTAAAATGCAGAGCTCCCCGGACCGGTGGCCAGGGCCCAGGCAGTGTGAGTGCCACTGAAAATCAGCTCGCGTGCTGCCTTCGGCACATGTGCCATAGGTTGCCTACCCCTGAATTCTATCCTGTGCACTGAATGAGTCAGGGATCCCTTGGAAAAAATAGTATATGACCATATAATTAATCACTACCATAATGCATCTGCATAATGGGGATTAAGGTTGCATGGGCAAGTTATTATGGTAGGCCCCACAGAGTTCCCTATGCTTTTATTTTGAAAAGGTAATTTTTATTGAAGCAAGGGGAGGGCACATTCTCCTCCTTAAATGATCTGTGTTAGAGGGAAATAAAGGAAAGATGACAGCTGTGTTATGGAGCTCCATTTACCTAAGATATTCTGGAGGCAGTTTGAGACCCTGTAGCAGTCTAGAAATGGAAAGGTGCAAATAGCTGAAAGCTACCCTAGTTCTCCAGTCCCCATGGCTGAAAGTTTTGTGTTGCACATCCAAGAAGTGCAGCACAAAATCTCATCCTACAGGTTTTGGATCAACTGGAACACTCCCCATCTATCTGATTATTTCCTCATAATCCTAACTTTCTGCTGAATAGAATATTGCAAACAGTCACTGCTATTGGACAGACCACAATCTTGCTATCTTCTAAGCCAAAATCATTTTTAGAGCATCATATGCGTTACTTACAAGCAGCTAAAGGGACTTATAAAAATTGTTTTTCATTGCTCTTAACTTATGTGTGTATCACTAGGAAGAAACACATGTTTCTGCTCTAGATCCAGTTCTGGAAGTTGCAGCTTTAAAGCTGATGAAGTGTTTTATGCACCAAGATTAAAAAAAAAAAATGCATTTGTTGATCAGGAAGTCAGGAATCCTCCTAATTAAGACACTTCTTGAAAAGATAAAATTTTTATCTTGAAGCATAAAACACTTCATCAGCTTTAAAGCCACATCTGTGAGGACTGGATCAAGAACAGAAACAGATGTTTTCCCTCTTACTGGCTTGTCTGCATTTAAAACCATTAACAGTTTTTTAAAAACAGTTGAAGACAGTTAAAAACACTTGCAATATAATAGGGATAACAGTACTATCCTTCTCTTTTTAAATCTGGTTCTCTTGATAGGATAAACTACATGATTGAATTGGTAACTGGATTATTGGCTCATAAAACAGCATGAGGTTGCTATTATCCCTTAATTTTATATCTTTATTGGGGAGTAATGCAGGTCTTATTTGAATCACTGAGTTATCTAATAGCTTCCCCCCCTTACAAATTTGTAGAACTAACCCTAAAGAATATGGTCTCAATGTAATTGTTTTAGTCATTATTATAAAATTGTGTAAATAATAATGTGTTTGTGGTTACTTACGATGATAGTTTTAACTTGGTTCAAAATGTAACCTCATTTGAGCTCTCAAAATATTAAAAGTACAGTACAAGATATTTACCTAAGTATTAATTCAGGAATTATTTAATCATAACAGTTTACTTGAATTTTGAGACAACGTAAAGATAAGCAACATAGCTCTTCTTATAGTATCATCATACATTTGTGCAAAGTTAGAATAGGTCTAACTGAGCCAACAAAAACATTTTAATTAAAAATATCAGGCATATTCAGATTAATACAACTTATTATACAAGTGACCTCTCTAATTATACATTCCTGTGGTGGTATTTCACTTATAAATCATTCAATAAAAACCAATTAACTAATCAAATTCTTTCCAAGTTCTATGTGGCATGGGCACATATTTATTCATTTATTTGCCAGTGGTATCAGTGCAAATAGAATTCATTTATGTGTATATTTTTGGAAGTGTATACACAAACTCTCTGGGTGAAATCTTAACTGCACTTAAGTTAATGGCAATAAGGGCAGGATGTGTACATGCAAATTATTTAAAATATCAATAAGCTCTGTTTCTTTAAGAAAAGGAGTGACAGCTGTCTCGGGTTTGGATCCACCTCTTAAAGATGTGAATATGAGACCACTAGTGCTAGGTATTATGGAAGCACCATTCATGGTTCCATAGTTAAGGCTGAGTTGAGTTTTGCACTTAAAGCAGGGATTCAGTCACTTTGTTTATGTATGAAGCATTAGTCTTTTGAGTACAGAATTAATTTTCTAAGTGTTTACAAGTAATTGACTAATTAGTGTTTGTGGGATGCAGGACAGGGGATAGATTTGGGAGGTAGGAAGGGAGGGAAATGTAGAGAGGTGCAAGAGGCAGGTGGAATTTGAGATTTGTGTGCACAGGAGAATGTGGAGGGCAGGAGGGAGTGGGATACAACCCCAGCTGCTTTTGTAGTGCTCTGATAGTGTAAATGCAGCTTAGCTGACAAGTATTATTGAGCTGCTTTGTGCTGCTCCAGAAGTAGCTGGAGCATACTGGTGAATATTGTCATAGAAGTTAAAATTTAAAATTGCTAATTCATATCTTCAAATCCTTAGAAATATCACCTGGTAACTTTTTCTTTAGATTTCTTGTTTACTCTTCATGTATAAAATTTTTGATTAAACACAACCAAAAGAAAGAAAGAAACAAACAAAGGGCAAACAGTGCATTCAAACAAACAACGAAGTATGTGTTTCCCTACTTTAACATGTTTGGATTTCTTTGCAGGTTAACCTGACTCCAAGTTTCCTACCTTTTATTATGCTTGGCTTTGGGATAATTCAACATCCCCATAATGTATTTTACCCTAAATAACTGTTGTGTCCTCTCAACCTTAACTTCATGTTAACATCATTTTTGTCTGGTAAAATGGCCATGGCTCTGTAGTTAGGGTTGCAGTAGTCATTATACCACTGATCTCTTAAGTCACAAAATGTGTATACTTCAAATTGCATCATTTGATGCAGTGCTATGGGTTACTCATCCTATTGGAGAAGGTATAGAGACAGAAGATAATTAGGGTAATGCCCATCATTTAACACACTGTAGGGAGTTGCCTGCTTTAAATCACTTTGTGTATTTTGTTTAATCCTAAAGGAGTTTAATGGACATTTAGAAAGAAGATAACATTCTGATAATTACATAATAATCTTTTTCCGCTAAATGCGTAATGATTATCATTAATAGTTATCTTTAAATGAGTATTAAGTGTTTTTTGTTCTGTGTTCGATAACTACCTTACTAATATTTACATCCCAAAGTTATCTTTTGCTGTCTATTTAAACAGCTGCTTTCATTAAACATTTTTAGCTTTTCTACTGCTTTGTTTTCAGAACTGTTTTTTTTTTCTGGCAGGAGCTGAAGAATTATTACTTAAGTGTGTGTTTCTGTTTGTGTTTTTCAAATAGTTTCTGCTTTCCAAAATGACACTGGGCATGTTGAAACAAGAGAGTAAAATCCTGGCCCCATTGGAGTCAGTGGGAGCTTTGCCATTGACTTCAGTGGGGCCAGGATTTCACCCAGAATGTTTAATACTGAACGTGCTTTAGAAGTAAGAATTAGATCACAACTACTTTTTTTTTTAATTTAGAAACCCCAGTTGTAATTTAAAGGGAAGATACTTCTATTGTTGGTGGAAAGAAAAAGAAAAGTTACCTCCATGGAAGATTCTCAGGATTTAAATGAACAATCAGTAAGTACAAATTCAGTGAAGTTTTATCAAAGAAATTGCCATAGTGTTCTGTATGCCATGTTCAAAAGGATGCCTTCAGAAATTTCTCTTTGAGAATGGATGTGAGAAATTGTATCAATACTAGTTTCTTTGAACAAAAAGACCCTGGGGACCTTCTGGGAATCTAGGTTCAAATAACTTTTTAGGTCAGAGGTGAAGTGAGTATTCTGGTCTCACCTTTGTCTATTCTTGCACATTACAAAATCACCACACAGTTCAGCAGGGTTTGGCAGAACTGAAATAGTAAGCGTTGATGGACATAATTGAGGTACACTGGAAGAGCAGTATGTGGAAACCTTGCATAGCATTTGCCTGCATTGTGTCTGGCTCAAATCATTCTGTCAAAATCTACTTTCATATTGTCTATATTGTGAATTCACACACACGCGGAGCTATTTCAGTGAGGTTAAGATCTGATAAATGTTAATATTTATAGAAAATTAAGGCTAATATTCCTTGTCTTACTAGTTATGATGGAGGAAGATCTTACATACAGGGGGCCAAATTCTATAGATATATTGGTACGTTCCTATGGAAACCAGTGTATTGCACTGGTATAAATGAGAGCAAAATATATGGCCATATGGTCATAGGCCAACAATGAGCGTTCATGAAAGAACTGGTAGCTCTAACTCTGCAACTCATTGCTTTTACTTTGCTAGATCTTTTAGAACATAAGCATATTATAAGCATAACAAAATTTTTGTGGGAGAATTTTCAAGCATGAAGCATTTCATTTAGCAACAAATGAGGCAATGTGTACAAGATTCCTTACCATAAAGATAAGAACATTTATTGCTTAGGCTGCATATTAATCTCCCTCCCTACCAAAGACCATTCACTTTATTGCTGAATAATTATCCAACATATGTAATACCTATTCTAAATTAAATAACTTGGGGCTCTATCATGACTCAAAAACCTTCACATGAACCATACAGAGGGAGGGCTCCCTGTTCCCTGCAGAGGGTGTTCCATAGTCTGGAGCCCTATTTAAGGGGGTGGGAGTGGGATAGAGCTATTGGTCAGTTGGGAGAAGTGGGCAGGTGAAGGGGGGGAAAGTTGTGCATCATCTTCCCTTGGTCCTGCAGTGATCATCCCAAAAGATAATATAGTGGATCCCCTCCATAGTGCTGGAGAGAGCTGTGGCCAGGATAGTGCATGGTAGTGTAGCTACAATGGAGCTTAACTGAGAGGTGCCGGGTAGCTGGACTGTTGCAGAGGTGCAGAGTCACTGTATGGAAGGCTTTGTCTCATTCTGATCTTCTTGGGACTCCAAGCATCTGAGGGGACTGGTTCCATGTCCTGTGTTGCAGAGCGTGCAGAGAATCCCGCCTCATTATCTTTTGACAGAAAGATTGGGGAAAAAACCTTGGAGATTTCTTGTCCTTTTTCTCTAAGGAGTAATTGGGTGTCACAATATTTTTTATGTCTGATACATTCAGATACACCGTCTGCATAATGGACTAGTTGTAACATTTTATTGTAACAAAGACTTTTGTAGGTAATAGGAGTGCAGAGAAGAATTTGCGAACAGTACCTTCAGTTTTTCATTCTTAAAATTTCGGTCAGAACAAAAGGGTTTCTTCATTTTTGGATAGTGGGGAAAAATAATTCACTCCTCGACTGACAACCTTAAATATGAGATTTTATGCTGAAACATGTTTTCATGGATGATTTAAATATCCTTTAAAATAATTGTTGAATCATAGTGGTGGCACTGCTTGGTACAGCTGTATTTATCTAACACAGGGGTTCTCCAACTTCATTGCGCCGCAACCCACTTCTGACAACAAAAATTACTATAAGAGCCTAGGAGGGGGGACTGAAGCCTGAGCCTGGCCGAGCCCTGCCTCCCTGCGCCGCGGTCAAAGACAAACCACAAAGGCTTCAGCCCTGGGGAGCGGGGCTGTAACCTGAGCCCTTCTGCCCAGGGCTGAAGCCGAAGCCTGAGCCCTGCCACTCAGGGCCGAAGCCCTTGGGCTTTGGCCCTGGGCAGTGGGACTCAGTCTTCAGCCCCAGGCCTCAGCAAGTCTAACACCAGCCCTCGCAACCCCATTAAAATGGGTTGTGACCCACTTTGGGGTCCTGACCAACAGTTTGAGAACCACTGATCTAACATATTTCCAACCAGAACTCTGGAATATGTAAGAATTAAATGGCCTCCTTATTAAATAAAGTTATATAAAGGTAATAAACGACTTTAAGTAAAGATTCTTGTCTTTTCATACCTGAGGTAATTCCTCTGTGCAATTACCTAATAGAAATATTAACAGAAAATAGATCCATAAATTTAAACTTAGTACAAAAAGATGTATATGGTTGGTCATGATGGTTAAACTGTTTTTGCAGCATTGGATGTTTGATAAGTGCATATTTAACAGCCTTTTTAATATTAAGGGTAGTCTAATTTCCATAATATTCTTCATAGTTAAAATGTAGCTTTCAACTATTATATGAAAAAATCTAACAAATTACAAGGTGAGGTGAAAATTGAGCTGTGATAATTATTGTATATGGAGGCAGCACTTGCTGTCATTACAGTGTTATTAATGGTATAATGCATAATGGCACAGAGGATCATAAATTCAAGGCAGGATTTATGCTTTTTAGCCCTGCTGACCTTATATGTGGTGGTGTTAGTATTACACACCAATAGGCCCCAGCAGATTTCTGGGTGCCATCATGCTAAGGCAGTAGTAAGAAATAGTCCCTGCCCAGAAGAGCTTACAGTCTAAATCAGGGGTTCTCAAACTGGGGTCCTGACCCCTCAGGGGGTCACAAGGTTCTTATGTGGGGAGTTGCAAGCTTTCAGCCTCCACCCCCAAACCCTGCTTCATCTCCAGCCTTTATAATCATGTTAAATGTGTTTTGAATTTATAAGAGGGGTTGCACTCAGAAGCTTGCAATGTGAAAGGGATCACCAATACGAAAGTTTGAGAATCACTGGATAGACCAGACAGACAGAGAGGGTGGGAGAAAGGAAATACTGTTTCTTCTGGTGCCTAACAAAGTAGTGTCCCATTATTTCCCTATGCTGCCAATGCAATTGTTATGTGCTGGACAGTGGTCCATTTTAGTCCAGGACAGCACTTTTGTAACTGTTTTATTGACTGATGACGATGATGGATTGCTTTACTTTTAGAAGTTTCCAGAACTGACAGGTTGATTGTTCAGAGTGACAGGAGGGCAAGACAAATAAATTTTAAACCTGTGAACCATTGCGTCTAAATTAACTCTATTTTTTTATTAAGTAACAGAGGGGTAGCCGTGTTAGTCTGAATCTGTAAAAAGCAACAGAGGGTCCTGTGGCACCTTTAAAACTTACAGAAGTATTGGAGCATAAGCTTTTGTCATAAGCTTATGCTCCAATACTTCTGTTAGTCTTAAATGTGCCAAAGGAACCTCTGTTCCTATTTTTATTATGCAACAGTCTCAGCAGGAATTCAAAGTGATCACCTTTAGTCCTAAATTGCTTAGTAGTGTATTTTTGAAATGGTTGTCGCATCTTCCTGATCCAAACTTTGGAGACTGAAAAAGCAAAACAAGGTAAAGGGGAAAAACAAAGCTATATGAAATAATTCTTCCAGGTGGTGTCAGCTGCAACAAGGGCCATGTACAATATCTAGGGGTTTCTCTAAACATTACAAAACAGAACTGGCTCGAGTCCCCATCCAGTAACCTGGGGAAAACTGAACACCACCCCTAGGCATCTTGAAGGGTCTGTCTACAAAGAAAGACATACTGCTGGTCACTCAGCAAAGAAAAACCTGTGGCTGGCCCATGCCAGCCAACTCAGGCTCACAGGGCTCGGGCTGTGGGGCTGTTTTATTGCTGTGTAGACTTTCCGGCTAGAGCCCGAGCTCTGGGACCATCCCACCTCGAAGGGTCTAGAGTCTGGGCTGCAACCAATACCTGAACATCTACACCTCAATTAAACAGCCCCTTAGCCTGAGTCAGCTGGCACAGGCCAGCTGCAGGTTTTTAACTGCAGTGTAAACATACCCTAGGATTTCAGTCCAGCAGGTAGAAACTCCTGTCCTCACCCTCTCTAATTTCTACTTGGCTTTGGCATCCCCATCCCCTCAATTAGGGCATGCTAAGTATAGTTCTGCTGCCCTTTACTCATGCAATGAGGATAAAAACATTTTATTATCCCTGCATTCAATAGTAAAGTGAATTGTTATCTAAAACAGCCAAAATTGATCACTTTGCCATAGCAAGCCTGTCTGCTGGTCACTCAGGCATAGTAGTTGTGTCTATGCAAATATGGTCTGCTGCTGAGGTCTTTTCCCCCAGCTCATCACTTATGCATGACTAAAAAACCCATGCGCCACTTATGTATTTATGGACTGAAAAAAATGATAGAACCACCAGGTTTTCTAAAGTAATTACCATAAAATAGAAAAGAATCACTCTAAAATGGACAATGCTAAGGTTTGTGCTGTTGACTCTTTAGGGAATAGAGAGACAATGTGGGTGAGGTAATATCTGTTATTGGACCAATTTCTGTTGGTGAAGGAGACAAGTGTTTTGATCTACACAGAGCTTTCCAGCTTCTTTGGGGAGTAGAGTGAGAGAGAGAGTGTGTGTGTGTGTGTGTGTAGCGGTCCCATCCCAAGGTTTTAGGAAGTCACTGAAGAAGATTGTGAGGTGTTTTGGAGTGCATTGTCAGCCATAGGCTGATTATACTCATTTTTGATTTTTTCATCAAACCCCAAATTATGTAATTTCAATAATGTCTGACTGTGTATCTGAATGAGAATGAACTGGTCATAATTCAACCCAAGTAAGGCAGGTGAGATGGTGGTTGGAGGGGAAACTGAGCAATGGGTATGTGATGCTGGTTGGTTGTGATGAGTTGTTTCGGTTAAACCTCATCTAAACTGTTGTTGAAGAATTGCCACTTTGAGGTCTGCTATTGAGTGACCAGAGAGACTGAAGTGTTCGCCTACTGGTTT